CCCTATACACACCTGCATGTGTAAGCACACACACACACACACACACACACACACACACACACACACACACAATGACTCAGTTACTTTTATTGCTGTGCTAAAACAGCATGATCAAGGCAATTTACAAAAGAAGACATTTAGCTGACTTAAAGTTTCAGAGGGTTAGAGTCCACAACCATCATGGCGGCAGGCAGGCAGGCAGGCTCAGTGCTAAGGTGTAGCTGAGAACTTACATCTTGGTTCACAATCACTAGGCAGAGAGCTAGCTGAGAATGGTGTGGGCTTTTGAAATCTCAAAGTCTGCCCCCAGTGATCACACCTCCCCCAGCAAGGCCACACTCCTTAATCCTTCCCAAACAGTTCTACCAGTTGGGAACCAAGCATTCAAATGTATGACTCTATTTATTAAATGTATTCTCATTTAAAGCAGCACATTCTACTCCCTAACCCCCATAGGCTTGTGGCCAAATCATGCAAAATGTAGTTTTTACGACTTCAGAAGTCCCCATAGTCATTCATAGTCTCAACATAATTTAAAAGTTCAAAGATTTCTTGGACTCAACACCACCTCTTATTTGTAACCCCGGTAAAATCAAAAAGCAAATTACATGTTTTCAACAATGGCACATAATATACATTATCATTCTAAAAGGGAGGAATGGGTGCATAGTGGGGAAATTCTGGACCAAAGCAAGATGGAAACCTAGCAGAGAAAACTCAAAATCCTGTAGCTCCATGTCTGATGGACTACATCAGACAAGGGGATTAGATGGCTTTGCTGTTGCACACTTCTCTCTCAGTCTGGTTCCACTCCCTGTATGTAGCTCTCCCTGGTAGACATTCCACAGTCTTGGTACCTCCAACATGCTGTGGTTTCCAACAAAATCCAGGCTTCATTTTCACAGCTTTATGCAATAGTCTCTCAAGACCTCCATGCAGGGACTCCCCAGCCATACATTTGGCCTCAGCAACACTCCCTAACTATGGAGGGAGATTCTGAAGTCCCTTTACTCCTATGTCTTACCTGACTCTAAAGCCAGAACCACAGGGCTGATGCTGCCAAGTTCAACTGGCTGCTTGGGATAGAGCCTGGCCCCCTCATTGAATTACATTTCCATAAAAATTTTCTTTTGGTGATGCTCTTTAGGAACAGCTAATTCTTTAGGCCTTTTCCTTTCACAAATTGAAGGATCAGCTGGTGGGGTCTTGCCCTGAGGACATCACTCCCTTTATTCCATTTTCATCAGGTCTCTCCTATCTATTTCATCATAAGACTTAGTTTCAATGTTAAATTTCCTGATGTTCTTTTTCTTTTTAAACTGTACATTTTGCATTTCTTTTTTTCTGCTTGTTCATTTTCACTGTAGAAACCTGCACAAGAGTAATTACTAATATCCATGCAACAGAGTCAATATTGGGCTGTCTTGAAATCTCCTTTACCAAAGAAATTAATTCCTTATTTTTCAGGTTTTTGCTTAAGGCAATTTTTTAGGACAAAGGCAGAAATCAGCCACATTCTTTGCTAAAATACCACAATAATGGTCTCTAGCCCAGTTGCTAATATTGTTCTCTCAGAAACCTCTTGGGCTGTAACATTGCCTTCAGAGTTTCTACTAGAATGGCCCTTTAAGCTCTGCTTACAGCATTTAACTGCTCTCCTAATCCAAAGTCCCAAAATCTTCTTATATAAACAGTGCACTTGGACCTGTCACAGAAATAATCCACCCACTGGTACCAATATCTGACTTAACTACTTTTCTATTTCTAAAATACCATGACCAAAACAACTTACAAAAGAAAGCATTTAATTGGCTTATAGTTTCAGGGGATTCGAGTCCATGAGCACCATGGTGGGGAGCATGGAGACAGGCAGGCAGGGATAGTACTGAAGAAGTAGCTGAGAGCTTACATTTGATCCACAAGCACAAGGCAGAGAACTAGCTGGTTATGGGCTTTTGAAACTTCAAAGCCTGCCCCCACTAACTCACCTCCTCTGATAATATCACACCTCCTAATCCTCCCTTAGCAGTTCCACCAACTGAGGACCAAATATTCAAACATGTGAGTCTATGAATGCCAGTGAACATATTCACACACACACACACACACACACACACACACACACACACACACACACACACACAGGTGCATGTGCACACGTGCATATGTGCAAAAGGACTATAATAGAAATGTATATGTTGCCATAACCCAGAACACTTGAGAATTTAACCACTGCTATGCTAGAAGATCAAATGACCACTCTTTCCAATAAAAGAGCAAAAGGACTCCCTGAGATTAAGAAGAAGTTTGTTATTTGTATATACAATTTCCAGGAGCTTAATAGATGAGCATAAATATGAGAAAATGCAAGCAAGTCTGTTATTTCTGGATAAGTGGATACGTGCTCTGAAGAAGGATCAAGAGGCCTTGGTTACCACCTCAGTTCTTGCTCCTATTAGCTTTGTGACCTCAGGCTTTTACCTGACATCTCTTGACATTCATCCCTCGCATACACAGTGGGGTCTGATTTGTCACACTCCCTGTATGTGTGTGGTGAGCATCAGATGGCATCAGAATGCTGCATCTGAGTGTGTTGTGTCTTTTGCAGCTTCTAAGGTAGAAGTTGCTGAGTGGCATCCATCTCGAATATTGGTAATGATTTTACCTTTAAACTTCTAATGTACTCACAGAACATGCATGCATGCTTACAAGCTTTTACTTTTTCTTTGCACCATGCTCCACCACAGCATTGCATAAAAGTTAAAGCTTACCAGATATTACACATGATGAAGAATATGTAATAATAGAATAAGGAAAGTTTGATTTGGATCCTTCTAGACAATAAGGATGGACAATAAGGAACAGCATACTCTCTATTTCATTTAGTTGCTCCTCTTATAAACATATTAACAACTTCATTTTTTTAAAAAAGAGGAGCAGAAAGCATTTTGAACTCTCCATTCTCTCTAAGCCCTTTGATTCATTCCATTTAAATGTTCACCTCTGAGCCCAGTGGACACCTGTGATAGTGAATCTGCATTTTATAAGTAGAGAAAGCTTAAACAAAGAAATCAGGTCATTTGCATGGCCACACAACTTGGAAGAGGTTGGTTCAAATCCAACAGAATAGTGACCTCTTGACCACCACTCTGACTTCCAAATCTCTTTGGAAACTCTCCTGAGAAAGGAGAGGTGAGTGTGTGTGTGTGTGTGTCACCAGTGTTCACGTGTGAGAAGGGGGACTGGAGGTCAATCCTGAGGATCTCAGGCTGCCCATATAGTCATTAGTCTACTCTGTTTGGGCTACAGCATTGGTTAGACTGTAGTCATCCACAGGCAACAGGACTCCCAGGTAGCAAAACTTGGCAGGATGCTGCTGTGACAAGTAACTATAACTTCATAGCTCTGATTCCTCCCACGTGTGCACAGGGACCCCCGGGTTCTTTCGATTTCCTGCTGCTTGTGCTGGCTGACATCCGAAATGATATTGCCGAGCTGCAGGAGAAGGTGTTCGGGCACAGGACTCACTCTTCAGCAGAGGATGTTCCTCTACCTCAGGAATTTTCCAGCTACCCGGAGACTCTGGACTTTGGATCTGGGGATGACTATTCCAGAAGAACTGAAGCGAGAGACTCTGAGGGCCCCAGAAACTTTTATCCATAGCACGTCCCATGTCTTCATGTCACCAAAAGAGAAACTTCGTCCAGTCAAAGCATCCAAAGGGGAAAAAATACCACTGGAGGCCTAAAGCCTAAGTCTGTCTTCCTGTCCTCCATCTACTCTGCTTCCAAATCCTGTTCTCCAAGTGTCCTGCACATCTCCTGCACTAGGAGGACGTGATGGGTTAACTTGCTATTCTTGAGGAGCCACTGGGTAGTTGTCATCAGAATTTCCTTGACATCCTAGTTTTTTCAGGAACTTTTGAGTTTCTAAGTAAATGCTCCCACAGAATCTTAAACTTTGAGAGAATGCCAAAAGGGAGGAATGGCAAAGTGGGCTCTCAGAAGTGTAAGGCTCATTCTAAAAAGAAAATTGTATAAAATACTTGACTACTTACCCTGTACTGTCAGAGTATGACTGGGGGTAGAAAGAGTACAATGTAGATTGGTGTTGGTTTAAAAAAAAAAAAAAGACTGTTCCTTAGCAACATCACAGATTTCAAGTTCTGCATCCTATTTTCCAACCTTGAGATATATGTATTGTTACAGAAACAAAAGAATAGGAAAGATGTACAAAATGCTCCAGCCCTGACCAGGTGACCAGAGGTGCCATCAGGCCCTGATCTTGGCTGAGTCAAGACAACAGGGATATTACTGGCCTGGAATATTGGCAAAGGGTGACAGGGGGCATCAAGAAGGGCTTCACTAAGGCTAGATCACCAGAGGCTGATTAATCTGCTCTTAAGTCATTTGGAGTCCATATCCATAGCCATCCAAGCTAGCAAGTGCCCTGGGAATAATACATAGCAGAGAGGTCTCTGAGACAGAGAGGGGAAGAAGTTTTCTTCTAGTCTGGCATAATTTTCCACCATTTCCCCCTGATTTGGTTAAAGTCCCTGTTCTAGGTCTCCTTGACTTTTTCTCCAGGTCCAGGGGGAGACGACTTGGAGGGGAGCACATTCTCCGATGTCTCCCTGAGTCCTTTCTTAGAGCACTTCTAGATCCCCAAGGATTCATGTTCCCAGAAAAAACAAGAGACCACGCTCCTTCATGGTGTCTTTGGGTTCTCTTGAGCTTCCCAAAGGAACTTGCTCACATGGTCACCTACATCAGGGTCTCTGCTATCCTGCAGTGGCCCCTTGTATTTCTAAGAAGTTTCCAGTTAGCTTTTCCCCATATCCTTATAGCCCCCATCATCTCCCAGCCCCTGCTGTGACAGCTTGTTGGAAGAAAACTGCTATTGGGTTTATATGACCCTGCACTATCCATTCTTCTTCCTGAGTAATGAGAAGGGGCTTTGTCTACAGAGCTCATGTGACCTAATGGTCTTTCACTTCTCTCCCCTCTTTCACTTCCCCTCCCATCCCTCTCATAGCCCTCTTCCCTTCCCCCTCTTTTCTCTCTTCCTCTCCCTTTCTTTTGCACCTTCTCTCCTTCCTTCCCTCTCTTTCCTTGTCCCCCTCCCTTTCCTCTTCCTCCCTTTGTTCCCTCCCTCCCTTCCTCTCTCAGTCCCTTTACTTCTCTTACTTTCTTCCCTCCCTCCATCCCTGCTTGCCCACCGGCCTTCTTCTTCTGTTAAAAAGGCAGGATCCCCACTCACTGATGCCAAATCCCCAGTGGCTGTCCACCAGAAGGTCATGGTAAAAGGCAAACACACACTTGTACTGCTTGCTTGCTGTGTCTTCCTCCTCCCCCCTCAGTCTCTCCAGGACCTGGGTATCATCACAGATGGCCTTGCCAACCATGAGTTCCTAAAGAGATGGATGCAACCACAGTCAAGCTCCACCTGGAATCTATTTAATGCTCGACTGCTTATAGAACCCAGAGTTTCAAGGGTGTGGATGGATGAATTCTCAAAACTATGCAAGGCTCTGTGAGCAATGAGTATGTCCATCTTTTTTATGAGGAATTTTATAAGCTCTGCTTTTTCTAGACAGTGAAATGTGTGTAGAAATATAATCTTTATTGCCAAATGCTGGTAAAATGCAAGCACACTTCATGCTTGGCCAGAGGCCAGGATAATGTACTAAAAGAATGAAGTGAAAGTCATAATATGTGGGACTCATGAGTCTATTCTAGATAATCATCTCTAGTAAAACATACAATAGCCTGTATTTTGTAACCTCAATCTGCTGGATCAGGTCACTTTAGGTAATCATTACTACTCAGATTTTCAAAACTTGGACTAGGAACTAACTATAATACCAAAGTATGTCCTCTACTTGTCCAAATTATGGTTTGGGTTTTGTGTGTTTGTGTGTGATAAAGCATTATCGCTCATGTATCTTTTGGTTGTGGATAGAAAAAAATCAAAGCTTTACTATCTAAACAAACTTCTGCTCAAAATCCCATGGGAAAGCCTTTAGAAGGAAGGACAGTCCAAAACAGATTTACTGAGTCACCTCGTATCTCATGGCAAAAGTGTTTCTTTTTAATACTTCCCTCAACCCTTTAGTAGGATTGTTCAACTTTCCTAATATCCCCACAAATAAGGCTTGGCAATAAATTGCCTCTGTGTTTATAAAGCAATTAGAATAAAAACTCACTGAACAAATGTAAGGAAGACATGAATTTTAGTTCAGAAAAAAACAAAGTACAAGAAGCCAGACACACTGGTATATGCCTGTAATCCCAGTACCTGAGAAGTAGAAATAGGCAGATCAAGAATTCAAGGTCAACCTCAGCTACATACCAAGTTTGAAGTCAGCCTGGACTGCATAAGAGCCTATATCAAAATAATAATAATGATAATGATGATAAATAATAATAATAATAATAATAATAATAATGAGAAGGCACTGGGGAGATGGCTTAGCAGTTAATGATGCTTGCTGCTCTTCCAGAGGGCCAGAGTTCAATTTGCAGCTCCTGCACCAGGCAGCTCTCAAACTCCTATAACCCCAGTTCTGGGTGATCTGATACCATCTTCTGGCTTCTGTGGCACCTTCACTCACATGCACATAGATAAACATGCATACACCTAAAAATGAAGTCTTTTTTAAAGCAGTGGATACAAAGAGGATGTTGCCTTTTCTTGCTATCTATATACGCTCCAATACTTGCTACAGAATTAACTAGAGTCATATTGCTATGTAGAGTCCGTTGTCCAACAGGCAAATAATAAATGCCCATTGACCTTCCAGGGAAAGAAGGAGTATACCTCACCCAAAAAACTAGGTGCAGAGTACCCAGGTAGGTCCATATAGGTCATTTTTCCCCAAGGTTTTAAACAACCTTGCCTTGAGGTTGTCACTATCAGAATGTTGGGACAGATCTTCTTCATGACTAGCATCATACTTTATCTTGGGCTGGGGGGTCTCAGGAAGCAACTCTCCACCTTATTTTGAGCATCATTTGCCTCCTCTTCTCTTATCCAGGCTGCCTCATGGAGACAGCCTTAGCAGCCACTTCCTACAAGCAAAATTATCTGCCAGGCAACCTTCTGAAGGGGAAAGTCATTTGCTGGAATCTGAGCCAAACAATTAGTAGGAAAGAGCCTTCTAAAGTTATTGGTCATGTATGCAGGGAAATAGATGTAGTTTCCTGACACAGCTTTCATATATGTCTTACAACATATCACAAATAATTTTCTATTTGGATAAGAGAACAAAGGCTGTAATTGTTAAAGCTGAAGTGATGTGCTTTATACCACTCCTCCTATAGATGTTACCATCAGAGAGAAGCCATGGAAAGGACATTTGGGTTCCATATCCCTCAGGGATCTAAGCATGTTTTGTCAGATTCCCAGAGCTTATTCCCTGAGGTGTGTGTGGGGGGTCATGAGTCTGTTTTTATTTCCCAGTGACTGGTCATATACTTCAGTATCTCTATGCATTATTTATATCAGATCATATACCAGTCAAACTGATATTCCAACAGTCATGGATATAATACTATGAAGTACTTTTGTATGACTGTATATGCTTAATAACAAAGTTATTTTTCTTACATGGTTCTCCTGTGTTTTGTCCTGACACTACTGTAAAAGTAGCCATCCTCTGGCCAACTAAATTCGGTGCATCCATGACTTTTCTTGCTGTGTGCCAAAACATCTGTATGACAAAAGAAATTTAGGGAAGTTTTTTGGGTGGGGGTTGTTGTTTTTTACTTATGGTTTGAGGGACATTTCATCATGGTGGAGAAGTCATGGCTGCAAGGTGTCATGGTGCCAATGATACTACAGTTGTAGTCAGGAAGCAGAGATACATGCTTCCTTGTTGATTTGTAACCTCTCTTGAGAACTAAGCAACTATCTATATGCCTCCTTCCTAGACTAAAGGCCCTGGAGGGCTGAGGATATGGTTTATCTGGTAAAATGTTTGCAGTCAAGCATGAGCACTTGTGTTCAGATCCCCAGCACCCACAAAAAAAAAAAAAAAGCTGGGTGCTTCTGTAATCCCAGCACTGGGGAGGCAGAGACAGGAGGATTCTTGGGGCTTGTTTGGGTTTAGTGAGAGACCCTATTTCCAAAAATAATGTGGAAAATGATTGAAGAAGACACCATCTATTCACCTTTGACTTCCATTTGTATCCCTGCACACATTCACACCAATATGTGTAACACACACACACTACACACACACACACACACACACACACACACACAGAGAGAGAGAGAGAGAGAGAGAGAGAGAGAGAGAGAGAGAGAGAGTCCCCAGGAACAAGAATTTTGCTTTTCTACTGGGCATCTGAACAATTCCCAATATACATAAAGAGTTGAATAAATTAGATTTAACTAAACTAAAGTTTATTCTTTATGAAAACCTAAAACAGGTTTTTTTTTTTCGCCCCACACACACACACACACACACACACACACACACACACACCCTGAGAGGTAAGTTATCTTGTCAAATGTCACAAAACTAAAAACATTTCTAATAAAGTTATATTTCAGAACATTCAAGAATCACTGTTTGTTGACTCTGTAATCATATCACAGACATACACACATTTCCTAATTGGAAATTGATGGGGGATGCCCTTCTGTATATATGTTTCTCTTATTGGTTGATGAATAAAACACTGTTTGACCAATGAAACAAGAAGATAGGTAGGATGAGAAGATGAGAATTCTGGGGAAGGTAGGCAGAGGAAGACCTCAAAACAGTTGCCATGTAGACCACAAAGGAGTAACAGGTTCGGACCCTTCTCCAGTAAGATAAGACTGTGTGGAAATACTTTGATTAATAGAAATGAGTTAATAATTAAGATAGAGCTAGCCAATAAGAAGCCCTAGTAGTCGGCCAAAAGTTTAATAATTAATATAGCGTCTGTGTGTTTATTTGTGCCTGAGAAGGGCAATGGGACCTGGTAGGACAAATGACCTCCATAAAAAATTGTGAATCACATAAAAGGCTGCTACACTGCAGAAGATAACACACAAAAAAAGGTGTGTTAACAAGACAATACAGAGCCATTGCTTCCTAATGCTCTAATCTACTCTAGATGCCATGAAGGGACTGAAATGCATAGATTGTCTGCA